AAAGATTATAAACCATACTAAACTATCAAATTATACTATCATGTACATAATTAGTCAACACCTAAAAACTCGTAAATTAATAACGATCAATCGTCCCTTGATTTACATAATTGGAGGATCTAAAAGTAATAATACCTGCTTAAGCCAATTTAATAACCTTTAAAACACCTCGAAACGAACTTTCGCTATAAACGAATTGCAACTTTATTCCATATTTTGAAACAAATTTGTGTAATAGACTCTCACAATATTACGGTATATTCCCAACAAGAACATTAACAGTTCCCTGACTAACTTCTATTAATAGAAGATAGACACCAACGGCGCTTCTAACAAGTCCATAATTCAATCTACCACGATAAATATATCAGAAGTGCAAGATGCAATATCGAATCCCACGCGCACCACACTTAGTAAAGTTATTACAATAATGCATTCGAGCGGTCTGGCGCCGTTTCAAAGAGAAATTTACCACTCGATTCTAAAATTCTGCTCAAAATTTATACGCCCGTTTGATATTTCATACGCGTTGACTCATGGAAATATTTATTTACGGATAATTATCAAGGACTTCTTTACTTAACCCCAAAAACTTAAAACCCAATTTATTTAACGGAATTAAGTGTTTCTTTTACAATTTTAAACGATGTCTCTGTAGAAAAATCCAGAATGTTGAATTTTATAGGAAATAAATATCGAGAACAGCTAAAAATACCTCACCTGCGGATGAAGTCAATAAAAAAAAACTTAAACCAACACTAATTGAACAGTTATAACATGTTATACACATGAGATACAAAATCTCTTTCGACGTTCAAGAAATAACGCATTCACAAAAATAATAAAAACAAATAGCTCACACTTTATCTAAAAATAAAATCGGTAGAAATGGGAAGAAAATGCTAAAATATCTACCAAGACTTTATATACAAACGAGGCACAAGAACTCATTAAAAAAAATGCGTCTCAGAAATCTAATGTTTGGAAAAGTGGTATCTATTTTTTTATGTCTTTTTTTGCAAACATTTTTCAGATTGCAAGCAACTACGAACTTCATTAGTTAATTTTGAGCGACATTAAATAATTTCAAAATTTATGAAGCGGAGTCGATATCCTAATTATTTCAAATAACGGATTATATATCGTAGATCTACTGTTTACAAAACTTCTGGATTCCTCCTGTGTCGGTTTTTGCTGAGTCGAACTTGCTGACGTTTTGCCAATCATCCTGTTGGCTTCTTCAGAGCTTGACTGAAACTGAATCTGAATCCAGAAGTTTTGTAAAAAGTATTACAGTAGCCTGTGGAAGTTTCTATGAAAAATTGTCATAGATCTGTGGAGAAATATTTATTGCTACCAAATGGTGGGCAATAACTTACCTATCAACTGTACTGATACCTTTAACTGAAAATTATTATTAATCAATGCAATTAGTGGCATCCCATTGCATCTGTTTTTAACAATTACTCCATAAAAAACGATCTGCTAAAAGTTAAACAGTTAAGTTAAAGTTAAATAAAACAGGTAGGGTATCGATTTCACCGATAAAATCATATAGAAAGAAAAATTTCATAAAAATCGTTTAGTTTCGAATTGGAGTTCCAAGTATGGGCGGAACATAAAACAAAAATAATTTTTTTGAACTGAATGATCCTTAACAGTATTTTATTTAGGAGACCTCTTACGTCTTACTTTTGTGTATTGTTCACTAAATCCACTTTTTAAGTACGGTATATGGTATTTAAGAGATAATTTGCAAAATTTTGCTTAAGAAACTAGTTTGTTTTTTTTTAATTTAAAAAAAAAACAAAATTTATCAAAACAGTAACGGTGAGTTTACTTTTTCAAAAATAAGGATTGAAATCAAATCTAGAATATATTTCTAATTTTAACTAAAGGTTTGGTAAAAAACAAGTAAATATAAACTGCAAAAAAAAGCGAAAAAATCGACAATGAGACAAACAGAAAGTTAAGTGACTCACGAACTGAACCGCAGGCCGCAGCAGCCACCCGAATTTAAACGGCCTTGAACTTAAATAAAACGCTGGTCCGATTTTGTTATAAATAACATTAAGTTAAAAGAGTAATGTGATGCGTTATTCGATGCTTAACGCCGTTTTAACTTCTTAAATCTCGCCGGTTATAGTTCATAAAATATTTGAATGGCGATTTTTATTAGTTTAAAAGTTGTTTGATGGCCGAAACATGCAATTTCTCATGTTTTTGTGGGTTTTAAGTTTCGCTACGTGCTCGAGATCATAAAAAGGTTGATTGTGCAGATTCATCATGACATAAGCGATATGGGAACGAAACAGAGTCAACTGGGGACATAGTTGTGGTGTGGGTACTTGACTTAACAACTAAACAAGAGCGTAATTCAAATAATTTTAGAAGAGTGGCGTAACTTTGAAAATAACAAAAAATTTCCATGTTGAATTCTTGAAAATCTTTGAAACAAATCAAAATCTAAAATAATTTTTGATGATATTAAAAAATATATAGCTTTAGCAACCTGAGTTTTTCGATAGCGTTATATTATGTAATATCAACTCTTCATCTTATAAACAAGTTTGTACTGTTGAATTTGGAGACTATTGTTATTTTTCCGATTGATTTACTGTATATACAAATCCAAAGCTACCTTGTCATTTATTTATTAATTTGTAATTTAACAGGCACAAAATAATCCGTCATAATAAGAAAGTATATTTCTTCAGAGTTATGACTGGGGTTTTCCAGAGTCACGCTGTACATCCGACAGCACTTCTTTTGAGAAGATTTTGATTTTGATTTTCGTACGGTATAGGAAAATTTTAACAAATTTCCGATAATTATTCTATCCAAATTAGTTCATAAAAACAAGAAAGGGAGCAAATACTAACCAACCAATACAAGCTTTTCCTGAGCCCAAAAATTAAATATGATGGCAGTTTTGATCAGATTTGGCTAGTTTTTAGTCTTTTCCTTTTGTGATCATTGCTTGTGAGCAATTATCTCTGCTCCCATTGCATAGATAAATTCCATAAATTAGATTTTTTCAAATAAAGTAATAGATTACCTATTTTTTTTAAATATAAACTATTTTACTTACTTAAATTCCCTAATTTAAAAATTACATTTCGCAATTGTACACCTTTCACTTTCAAATTTGAACAACATAATGAATTTTACTCGCCCATCTTTAATTTATATTTTGTGTGTATTGTAAATTTTGAGATCACGAACTTATATCTTTATTTATTACGTACATTTGTCTCTATTTATGATATAATTTGATGTAATTTTAACTTTTTTTCTGGATCTTGTGACAATTATATATCACTGCGACACTTGTGTTATAAAAATTTACTTCACACACACTTATATAAGTTTGTAAAAAAGTATAGGTACTAACAAAGTGAAGGTATATCTACAAAGCTACAGTATTTTTTTAGAAAGTAGGTCGCACCCATAAAAGCAAACCCGTTTTTTATTGAACGCTAAAGGATTGTAAACGGGGCACAAAGGGGTGAAAGTCTGAATTTTTTAGCGTAACCAATCCTCTGATGGACCGCCGTTAGTGTGACCTCCGTCACACGCTTTCCAAAAATTTCCTAATCTTGTTTGTTATCAATTATTTAACGTAAAGGGTAAAGTTTCAGTTGAACCGAGAGAAGTTCGCAAGAAAACAGTATAAAATATCCACTTTAAAATTGTTTATATATTCTGTCACATTTGAACGTGACTGACCTTGCTGTATGAATACGCACAGAAATTATTATTTAAACTGCAACGAACTGCACATAAATAAGTGTGTACAAGGTTATATTAATCCTTCTCAATTACAGAATTGAGTTTAAAAATTGGTTGTAAAGCTTTACAATTCCCTGCAACAGCTTTTTAATAGTTATTTATAATGGTAAAATTATTCAACCCAAAATCATTCGAAAAAAATTCATATAATTTAACAAATGGTATGGGTCTAAAATAAATTACATTCATTCTGTTTAGCATTATAGTGTCAGTACCAAAAAGCCAAATCGATTCATGGACCATTTGACCGGTATCTGGCCCTAATCTCAAAAACGGCTTTAAAAACGCCAACTTTCATCGGTCTGACGTCACAATACACAAACAAATCTGGCACATCATACGGAAGAACAATTTAAGTTAGCATTTGTTTGTTGTTTATTTTATATTTACTGTGATTAACGTGATCAAAAAACAAAAATGAGAGTAAATAATAAAAAAATCCAAAAATTCCAATTCAATCTAAGTAAATATTATTATATATTACATAATATTATGAATATATTTATATATAATTACCCTTTTAACACATATTGAGATGCTTAATAGCTTTTCTGTCGTTTTCTCTTTTTTTTTAATAACTGATGTTGAATCATTGCTGGAAAATTACAAAATAGCAAAACCCCAAAAAAAAAACGCTGAACTCACAACGAGCATTGTTAACTAGCATGTGACGTCAGCACAGTTTTATCCAATGGAAAAGGAATGCTTTTAGCAAAACTAATCAAAGGGTATTAATATATTGTGGGACTAATATTTTTCGGTAACCATATTCGACAAGGAACTTTATCTCCTCCTAAATTTAGATTAAAGTTTGCTTTAATTACTTAATTCGATCTTACATTGACCGCACAACTCCGTCATCGATTGGATTCAATATATAAAAACAATTATTATATTATAACACTACACGCATACAATCGACAATGCAGTCTGGCGCACCTCTAGAAAAACTAATTGGATAAATTATTTCAGCGCCGGTAGACCGCCAATAAAAAGCGCAACGACCCGCCTAAATTTTGTTGTGTCTACAACATCCGTCGCGGGTAGACTCGAGGGTTATTTCGTTATTGTTTTCGCTAAATTGCTCGGCATACTGGACACTAATTTGATCGACGAGAGACTTCGGCGAAATCGCAATAAAACATGATCATATGGCGATTTCGCTAACTTAAACTACATTAAAAAGAAAAATAAAAAGGAATATCTACCATTGTACTCACCGCAGACGACACGGTCAAAGGGGCTCATCCAGTCTGCAACAAAAAATAATTATTTTTACCACATAGAAATACCATGACGGAAATTCGTCGAGTAAACTTTCACACTTATTTTTTATACGTAAAATATTGCTATACCCAAAATTGCTGTGTAGTACGGTGTTTTAAAACGGCTCTAAATCTAAAAGCATAATCGTAGTAAAGTAGTAATAGGTGATAGTATGCCAAGTGGGAAAAAAATATCAAAAAACCACAAATTAAAGCTTTCAAAAATTGATGATGATTGCCTATGCACACCTTGCTAATAATCTAGAACATCAAGATTGAGGGGCTCAAAGGTTACAAACGTGGGATTTTTTGTTTCACGACTGCCAAGAGACGTTTGGCCTATTCATGTAGGGTAATAATTAGTCAAACAGAACATAGTCAAAAGAACTCATATCTGAGAAACCAAGAGCTCCTACTCTATCGACCTAATCACTTTGATATCAGGAGACAAAGTCAGAAGTAAAAGTTTCAACAAAAAACTTCAGCATCTGGCATCTGGCTTTTGTATTTTTGAGCAACAGATAATTTCATATAATGGCGGCTACGAGAATGCGACGCGACGTCAGTGTCCCAGGGACTTTTATAAGCTCATTAATATTTATATCAACCGACACGCCAGCCATTAGAGCAATAATAAAACTATATCAGCTCCTATAACAGCGGCCGTTAAACTATCTCGTCCATTGTCGCAAATTATAATAACGATATTAACGACTAATATTTAACCACAATATTAGCAACATTACTTTTATACTATTGACTTGATGTGGTATACATATTAATTAGTTAATTTTATGGGACATATTTTACAATTCGGATTTTAATTAGACATCGGATTTTAAATGTTTGCCGCTATCTCAAAAACATGATGGGCAATAATTAAAATTATCCTTTACAAAAATATATTGTTCGAAACTCGAATTTTCTGGGTAGATCTAAAAATTTTTAAAAGTTAAAATAAATAAATAAAATAAAAAATTAAATTAATATTAACTAATAAATATATACTTCATATAAGGAAACAATGAATAAAAAACGGTCATATATACTTATACGCATATTCTAGGCCAACGAAATGCTCCCGACGACCAGTGAGTATTATTTATCTCATGAAAGATTAGCGGTTAGAAAAAATTTGGTATTAGAAATTAAATGAGCAGTACAAAACAACTGTTTTTTTATTTTCAAATTTAACTAAATTACAAGTACTAACTGCTAACTAACTACTGAAAAACGATGCTTTTGAAATATCTGACTTGAAAAATAAAAATATTTTACAAGCTTTTAGTGAATCAAATCCTTATTATTACAATAACTAACGAACAGAGGAAAAAAAGAGGAGAAATGGCATTTATGAGAGAAATATAAAGGTTTAAACTGGATCGGATAATATTAGAAAAGCATATAAAGATGCAGAGAACTAGCAACAAGATGCCATCTGGACAAATGAAATCAAACCCATAAATAGATCGTTGATCTATTAAATGTTACAAATTTTTTCCGATCAGTAATAAATCAAATATTGACTAAAGTAGCCAACCAATGTGGGTAGTGTGTATCGTGTTATACTACTTCTGCAATTTGCATTTATATTAATATAATGAAATATTAAACGGTTTGAAAACAAAGACAGGTAGAGATCGTTGCGCTTAGCTAATACTTTTGGTGTTCTCTTTCCTATTGATTCATAACTTTGCATAAATTTTGAAGAATATTATAGTAATCAAATAATAACAATAAATCACCGCATAATTAGTTAGTTAATTAAAGTCGTTATCACGATTTAAACGGTTTTTACCATAATTTTTAAGATTTCACTTAAGGGCAGATTTAACTGTTCTAATCTAATCTCCATAATTTGATAAATTTAAAAAATATGGCTGAGGCCGATTAAAGTTTTGATTTCGTTGATTCCAATCAAAGGTTTAGAAATAATTGTCTGGTGAGGATCAAAATTATTTCTACAAACGACTATGATTATTGAAATTTACAGAATCTTAGGTATACGAGGTGCGACTATATCCACCCTTCAAATCAAAATGAAATGCCAAACACTCACCTGTGATTGACATCCAGGGATATCGCGGAATATCAGGAATAGGCTGCCCGCCAGGGGCGGTTGTTTGGGAACATGAATTTAAAGGATCGACCACGGCGCTTGCTGCCTGGTGGTAAAACTGAGCTGCCACAGCCATCGATGATGCTGCTGCGCTCACTGAGCTGGCAGCGGACACCGCCGCGCCATTTTGGTGATGATGTCCCAGCGTGTAGTTCACCATCGAGTCTGTAGGGGCTACGTTTCCAGTCAGTCCCGCTGTATATCTGGAAGCATAACTGTTCCGTGTCTCTGATGATTTTTAATGTCTTCAATGCGAAATATTCGTAATAATAATAACAAAAATAAAAAGAAAATTTTACTGTATATAAACAATTGCGGATCAACTAATCTACATGTTTTTATGTTAGAACCAAGCTTTTTGAAAATATTAAATAAAAAATCGATCCCAAAATAGCGAAGCGAATTGTTGTTGAAATATAATAAGAGGCTGGATGAAATACGATTTTCTCGTCGCTCTAAAAATCAATAAATTTCTAAATTTACATTACACATGTCTTTGAACGCAATATTTAGGATGAAGGTCTTCTTTCATGTTGCGAACACAAAGTGGATGTGATTCTATCGTTAAAATATTCACACAGACGACGATTGAAACATATCCAAAAAATATTTATTTCCTTTCATCAATTCAAAGGACGGCAATTTCGAATAACATTAATCAGAAAATAAACTGAAATAACGTGGCTATGGTTGTCAGCGATTTTGAAAATTAGACATTGTCAAGATAGTTTCAGATAGACGAACAACTAATTTAGCACATAACATTATATTAGTTCAGAAATAGAATTTAAAATGATGAAGCATGCATTGCAATAAATTCATAACCCTATAGTTGTGAGTCAATTCAATATAGTTTTTTTTAATCTCAATTGAACCAACAAACCACAGTATATAAAATAAAGGTAAGTACAGTTTACTTAGATCGTACATAAAATATGCTATTTCCAATGACAATTATTTATCAAGGTAACAATAAGTTTAAAATTAATTAATATTGCTTAAAGATTTGTAACCTAAAAAGCAAATAAAAAAAGAAATGTTTTTTTTTGTATAAAACTGTTGTCAATAATACGGTAAACTATTGTATAATTTTTTTAAAGAGAATTTATCAGAGAATTGTTTGGTAGACTTAGAATATCTAGATGGTCTGGGTCATTGAATATTGTTGTTGAGTGCCTGTCTAAATTTACAATTGAATAAATGTTTGAAATTCGTAAGTCGGTTTTGAGAATGTTAAGGAATTTGTTAAGGAAATAGGTACGAAGTTGCTTGGTATAGTTATTGTAGTACAATTACAAGTTTGATAATGTTTTGGTTTATTGAGGGTTTAGGTGTAAGTATTTTATTAAGGAATAAAAAAGTGCGTTTTGGCTACAAGACGATGAATTTTAGGTACAATTTTCTTCTCAAAATAAATGTAAATTTTGAAAAAAATTATAAATTTTTTAGGTTACTAAGAAAAATTATGTAAATTGTTTGTACCTGTAATAAATCATTAAACCGTCGATTGAATACAAATGTCCACACTACTAGTAAATCAAGGCAATTTCAAGGCAGGTAAACAATTCGCTTTGTAATAGTCTGCATGCGCGCGCGTCCCAAATTTGTTTCGTTCTTTCTGCGCAGTGTAGATCTGCCAATATATGCGCAAATCATAGTGCGTAAAACTCATGCCTGATAAACAGTTCTTCAGATCTTTGGCAAATTAGATACCAAATTATGAAATGTTTCGACGATATATTTTATCGAAAATCGATGAATTTAAAATTTCAATTTTTGCGTGGAGAGACTAATAAATAGCGACCCGTATATTCGATGCACTTAAAAATAAAATAAAATTTCAAAATGCATAATGGTTATTTTTAATGTCAAAAAATTAATGAATAAATTGCGTGTGGCGCAAAAAAACGAGGTTTATTTCATGATAAATTAGCGTAATAATGCATCAATTTAGCACACCATTCATTAATTAAAAAATGATTAATTAAAATTAATGAGCAATCAATAATCATTTTTTGCGGATGTGTCCCTTGGTTTTCATACTCAATTGCCGTCGGGTTGTCGAAGAAATTCATATTGACATTACGGCCAAAAGCCTTACTTAAAAGTCACAGAGGAATTGACAACAAAAATATAAGAAAGATTGGTTTTTGGTCAACCATCTTAAAACGTAACAGCTATAAGCTGCAGGGCTTATAGCGTATTAATGAAAAAAAAAACTGGTGCAGTTAAAGTGAGCTCCGACGGATAAGAGAACGATTGACACAGTTAGTAATATATAAAGTTTTCATTATATGCCAAAGTTTCATCCTTTTCAGAATAAACATTGCGTTTCTACCGCGACAATGCTGACCTATGATTCCCTCGATGTGACTATAACTATAACGACTTATCAGGCACCTAGGAGACTATTTTTCTCACCTGCAAGACTTATCCGTAGCAGCATCGACGGCGGCGGCTGCAGCCAGAGCGGCTGTACTAGCGCTGGTAGAAAAAGCTCCGGGGACCATGGTCCCGGTTGCGGCGGCACCAAAGGCAGCGGCTGCTACAGCTTGCTGCTGGTGGTGGTGATGGGCGGCCGCGGTGGCAGCCGAAACGTAAGGGTACATTCTGGACGCGGGTGAAGTTGACGATGCGCTACTGTTCGAGTGCTGGGGAGACGAACCGCTTGGCGAACCGGAAGAACTGTAATTTACGACGGAAGCGAGACTAGCTTCGATTGACGAGGTGCTGACTGGACTTTGGAACAACTGTTGATGGTGGAACTGCTGGTGGTACTTCGGGAGCATACTATCGATGATGAATTTGGAACTCATCGCGTTGCCGCGATCGCAACAATGTCCCGATCACTGCACCCGGAACACGCACTGATTATTACCATAGTACATAGCAGGATAAGTGCTATTTCCACGGACGGCGGCGCGTCGCACTTCGAATTTTACGACCGTTTAACCCTATTGCCAGAGTCGATTTCTTACGCGTCCTTCTCCTCTACTTCTTCGAATCCTTTATGACCCATGTATGTTCAGTCTATAGCCCTCTATGCCTTATCCGCGGTACTAGAGCGAGTAATGGCGCGCCCCTCCACGTCCGTGCCAATCGGAGCAGGTGCGGATCGGGCCAATGACGAGAACGCGCGAGCACGAGGCAGTTCGATACACGCGCTGGCTCCGACTCGAGACGGCTCGAAGGACCGCGCCGCGTGCGGTCGCAGTAGGCCGTGCACGCGGTTACGTTTGCCAGATCGCGCTATGCGCGTCGTGAGGCTACCAAACGAGATGCATTTTTACCGCCACTCATTGCCTTACTTATCGATCGTTACTTGCTACACTAAACTTAAATATCACTAATTATAGTTGAAATGTCCACTACGAACTATACCAAATCGTCGACTCAACTTATAATAAATATTACAAAATTGTAATAAATCACAGAAAACAGACACAGACCTATAAAAAACTCAAAAAGGTGAAATGAAATTTCCGACATTTTCACATCAAATGTGGGAACATAAACACATCATATTAATAACCATCTTAAATTTAAATTTATGATTTTTTTTTGTATTTTAAAATTTTATTGAACTGTAGCAACAAAACAAAACAATATAATATAATGACATATAGGTATTCCTAGTAATAATAAAAAAACCAAGAAGCAGGTGAGAAAAAAAGAAAGCTGAAATTGAATTGTTGGACTCTCTTTACATTTTGAAACATCAGTGTACAGTGAGTCAAAGTTGATGTCACACGAGTACCTAATGGAAAATCGCGACAAATTTGTTATAATTAATTCTTTTTTTTGTGCTTTTATTGAAATAAACCAGTGCAGCTACAGTTGTGGTTTGATCAATTTGTAAATTGGGAAACAATTTTTTTAAACTCCAGATATATTTCACGCGTTTAAAATATCATGCAAGGTATTTTTGGCCCAAATTTTTTGGGCCTCGCAAAAAAATAAAACTTTTCGCAGCATTTTGCAAGAATGCCCAAGATTTGGAATATATGTCATTTGTAGATCATAAGATATTAGGTATAATTTATTAACATTTTTGACTATTCACTAAAGTACTAACACAGAGGCTACCACAACGGAAAAGTTAAGGCATTTAATTAAAAAAAAACAAGAACTTATTTTTCTAAATCGTCTGAATAGGCTTTTATATCTTAATCTTTAAAAAATATTGCTTTAATTGCAGCCCGCTTCTTCCCATTGTTGCAGAGCCATCTATGGATAAAAGCCGCAGTTAAAGAGAGAGAGAGGTCGGGTGATGGTAGACGAGGCCAGCTCGCTCGTATCGCTTTTGGCTGGGGGAACCGATTTCCAAGCAACAGGAACGAATCGAGGAATATTTTAAAACGATACTATGAAAAATAAATTTTGTCTATGGAGTAAATTTATTTTGCAGAAGTGTTAATTAGGAATGGGTTATTCCATGTTTTTTAAAATCAGATTCAAAGTAAAAGTCAACAACACCGATCAAGAAATTTTCTTTCAAATTTTCTAAAGAATAGAAACCTTTATTGCATGGTATTATAACTGATAGAAAAACGACTATCCTGCGACTTAGAAATTTGCGGAAATGAATAGGTTTAAGAAGGAGAAAAATTAGTAACTAAAAAATGTATATAAGGGAAAAATCAAACAAATATTGAAAAGATTATTCAAATCCTTTTCTGAAAAATATAAAAGTTTTTAATCTAACACTAGTTATCTTATATGATACGACAACACCGTTTTGAAAAAATAATTTTTATTCAATGATGAACATAGTTTATGCTCTATGGCCGACAAATATCTTACTAACTGAACTACAATATTAAATTCGGCGTATCGTTGCAGCGTCAGCTTCTGCGGCGTCAGCAATCTTAGACTTTGGTGATGACATAACTCACTAAAAAGGTTCTCTCGTCTGAAGTCTGTCGAAAAGTTGACTTTAAGACGATACTTTGTTAAAATTCTAACTATTATGTTGAAAAGTAGGCAAATTCCTTCTTTAAACATTGCATAATTACACAAAGTTCACAATTATTAATTCATGAAATATATATTCTCATTAGATTTCTCGTTATCAAAAACAATGAAAAAAAATCAGTTATGGATCTTAGTCTTACAAACTAACCCTTAAAATTCATCCGGATTCTACAATACACTAACAATAACAAAATAAAAAGTTAATAATCTATATTTTTAAATATAGATTCGATCAACAAAAAAATATGGCATTAAAAAATATAATATTATGTGTATTATTTCACGCCAAAACTCTATATATCTACTTCAAAAAAGTAGTTTCTTCTGATGTAAGAACTTGAAGGAAGATTTTAGCACGTTGGTTAGTTTTAGTTAGTTGAAAATATAAAAAAAATATGAAAAAAATAAGAAAAATATATATAAAAGTTTTGGTTAGTTTTGGTTAATTCTATCAGGTTCTATGTTTATTATTATATTCTTAATTTTTTATTATACTTTTTAAGATCTCTATAAAATATTGAATCCTTTGCATTTATTTTTTGTCTACAACTTTGGGTGAGTATGCAGATGGATAGCAAAACAAAATGCTGAAAATTCCTTTACTGTGAATGTCAAAATATTTCCATCTTTCTGAAATTAGGGACTTTTTTCTTTTCATGTTAATTTTTGCTGTTTATTAGCCATTAAAATGTGGGTTGCCATTATAACTTCGTGTTTTCAATTTAAGATAATTATTTTTTTATTATAATAACATGTAATGTAACGTGAGGCAATTATTTTCAATAAAATAATAAAGGAAAACAGACAAAGTCCATGTATTTTTAAAACCAAGTGTGATAAGAAAATGGTTTTTAGAATAAGCCTATCAAATTGTTATTGCGCGTGTCATTCGATAGTTTGTTTAGTTTATATTTAATTCCGAATCCGAACCTGTCTTGTTGTCGCATATAAAATTTGACCTTTCCCACTTTTTATCCGAAGACTACCCGTCGCGATCGTCACTTTTAGATGGTGTTTTACTGGTCTACAATGGTCCATTACGTTGTTACTCCTCCGCCATACCAAAAAGAAAAACATGGGTTCACCTTTTTTTGTTTCTGTCCTAAATTATCCTAGGACAGTAAATTATATAGACGTCCCATAGAGATAATGACCGGTATTTTTGTGGTTTTTGATTTAAATTATGGGACTCTGGGACTTACCTTTTGTGTGCCGACTCGGAATTCTTACCTGGAACGGAAAAAAAATTATTTAAAATAAAAACACACTTAAAAATATATGCATATATCGATCCCAATGGATTTTAAGATTGATTAATCCTCTAATTAAGAATTAATAAGAAATTTTAAAAATAATCTCGCTTCTTATATGTTTTTAGTTCCGTAACACCAAAAACTCAAAACAAAGTCATTAATTAGTATATAAAGATTAAGTAATACATATTAATAGCAAACATTAAAACCCAACAGAACATTCTTAATGCTGAAAGGAAATATATAATACAGAGCAGGTTCGATAATCCGAATAACAAAAATAACAATAATTATTATCGAATTATCAAATATGTACTTACTGCTTCATATTTAGGAGTATCATTAAGTCATCAGCTTCATAAAAGTTGAAGCAATTTTCTTTTTATCCTATTATATATGTTATTTATTTACTAGACACGAGCTATCATCAACAACTTGGAATTATTTTGACAAAATATTTTAAATATCTTCTACAACTAGGACTACTACTACAAACCAACCAATAGCAAAAAGTTACGAAAAAAAGTCGAAGCATAAGTTAACGCGAACTATTTTATCATAAAAAAACAGGACAATGGTGGATGCACCCGATTCTATCTTAGCGATACTGGGTTCTGTTAAAATCAGTGGCATCCTGAATTTATCTCATTCCTCCGGCAAGTCGTTAATATTTTACGATTTCTTCCTAACATAAAACAAATCGTTTAATGACTCTATCGCTTGTTCATTTTAATGTGTGAAATTGCACATCGTTTATTTGATTACACCCTCAAACCGCAAGACTTTAAATATTGCTGATGTGGCGAGATGTGGCCACAGAATTTATTATGGTTATTGCTTATGGAATTAGCTAAGAGAGAGTGGTTGGATATTGGTTATGTGGTTAAAATAGTCCAATTTCTTTAGTTTCAAATTTAAATTTTAATAAAATTAATACCAACTAACTCACTATGAAATAAAATCTTGCAAATTTATTCATGTTACAGAAATCAGAAATACGATAGGTATAAAAAAGGCTGTATTTGTCAATAATTCAACAGCCACCCACCGCAAGCGATAAATTGATAATATTCTCAACTTCCAAAATCAATCGATATACAACTACGACAACGATCGACAGCGCCCTCTAGTTGTCAAGGCAAAAAGTTTCTTAAGGGTAGAATATTCCGGGGAGGTAAAAGTGGACAGTAGTGTTCTGCAACAAGCTGAACATTTCTGTAATAAGATATGGTTGTCCAAAGTGCCGTTCAATGGGATTTTTTGTTCAACCCAGAACTTACAAGACTTTGTATAGATATTGATAATATAATATATTGGATGTATTTGATTATTTATTTCCTTTACCAAAAGCAATAGTTTTTCAGAAAAAATACCAAGACCAAGGATATATGAGTGAAAAACTCAAAAATAATCAGGTACCTCCCGTGAAGTACTTTATAGGAAAGAATAAGTTAAATAATTATATAGGGAACTCATTATCAGTTCCCACTGATAACCCAAATTATTATGTAAAATAAATTAATCGGATATCAATGAAAGTCATATGTCAACCAGCTAGATATGAAAAATATGTGGACAAAATATGAAAT